CTGGGCTCTCCACACATCCAGCCAAACCCTCCCAAGGGAGATGCTTTCCCCCTGCCGCCTCCTTGGGCCCCTGTGCAGGCCGGTGGCATTCCCAGAGGGGTCTGGAGAGATCTCCATTGCTCGCTGCGGCCTCAAACCGCGGTCAGGGGGCCGCACGGTGGGCACAGCCGCTGTGGGTTGGGGGCTGTGGGAGAGCGGGCGGCGGCGGGGGGGTGAGGGTGCACTGGGAGGCCTGGCAGAGCTGAGCTGTAGGTTGGCAAAGCAGGCGTGGAGAATGGTGTTCAAGACCGTGCTGTTGGCCTGTCTCTGCACCATCTGTGAGGTTTTTTACTCGTGTCCTTACCGACTCATACAATACAAGAGTGTGCAGCCGTGTCTTTCTTACTCTAGTGTGTAACGAAAGAGGAATCGGAGCCCTGTGTTGATAACTCTGTGTGTGTGTGCACAACTTGTGGTCAGGGCAAACGTTTTGGTGAAATTCTCGTCAAGTGAAACATTTCAGCAGCATGAAAAGTTCAGTTTTGTTCAGGCACTGAAAAATGTCATCATACGTAATTTGAGGAGTACAAGGTGGTGAGCTAGCACGTGCTGTTTTATTTAATCCCCATGTGCTCCCAAAGTACAACAGTGAGCAAATGTGTAAAGATTTGCACAGTTAGTATTGTTGTTCTACAGCAGCATTGTTGAACCATTTTTTGCCTATGAGCTCTCATAAAGCTGTTTTCCGTTTGGTTGCCTTTCTTTTATTTATGCAGATGACCATGATGATCTGTCTTTTCAGACAGGTCTTAGAGGTACCCTTCAGAACCTGAACTGGAAAATACAGCTGGAATCCAGTAGTACTCTGCCTGTCTCTCTGACTGAAATCAAAAGCAGCGTGTAAGTATTGTATCTAAAATAATCCTGCGTGACGAGGACTATCATTTTCTATAAAGGTTTAATTTTACTTTGTGGCAGTGTCACATGAAGTTGTTTTTAAATCTCACAAATGTTTAAATGTTTAATGTGGCCTATTTTTGTTTTATTAATTACTAACTTAAAATTACAGGTATGCAGCCATCTCTTTTGGAAGACATGTTGTACATACACTGTATAAAATCTGTTATTAATCAAGTATGACTAGAGTCTCTAAAGGAATATGAGTTTTTATCTTGTTTTTTTTCATTTTCTGATGCAGAATTTGTTTTTCCCGTATTTCAACTGACACGAAATATTGGTATTAGCTTCAATGACGTTCAGCTTTCATTATTTAGGTTCACTGTGAAGAGACTTTTCAGCACTTCACATTCATCAGTGGATTCAAAGGAAATGAAAAAATTCCAGCTCCTTGCGCATAAGTGGTGGGATGAAGAAGGAGAATATTCAGCCCTTCATTCTATGAATGATATTAGAGTGCCATTTATTAGGTATGGTTTTGAAGATAGATTTTTTTTTTTAATGTGTACTATATCTACATAACCTCAGAAAACATTGGAAAAGAATGACTGGTACTTAAGATAAACATATATTGCATCTACTAAACCACCTTGTGTGTTTGCCCTTAATCACATCCCTTTTCTTCCAGAGATACTCTGTTGAACATGAGTAGTAATTATCATTTGGGAAATCCACTTTCTGGAGTAAAGATTCTTGACGTTGGCTGTGGCGGTGGACTGCTAAGTGAGGTAAGAAACAGTGCGCTCTGTTTTCTCTTGTTAAAAAGTGTACAAAGTATTTGAATTGTTTTACTGTTACGCTACTTAATTTCTAATCCTCTGAGGAGGAGCTTTTCTCTTCTGTGATATATTAGTTACTGAATGCTTTGGAGTGCAGTGTGTTTACAAACCGCATAGAACATTTGGATAGTGTGGTGGTGATGGCTTACAGAGAAGAAGGGAATTGGTAATGAGAAATTCTAAAATTCTGACGTTCATCAGAAAAATAAGATTTCAAACACTGTAAAGAAAAGGAAAGGGGAAGAATGATGTAAAAGTCTTCGAGTATTCCTCTGGGCGGTCACAGTATGACAACTTTTTTCTTTTTTTTTTTCTTTTCCTTTTTTTTTAATTTACGAGCCTAGGTAAGAATACTTTAATCATTACAATCCTTGTTACCAAGGAAGTATCTTCTATTATAAACTTGTTCTTACATGTTCATTTATTTGAATTGCTTATCTTCTGGTTCTTACATTTGCGGTGGAGATTCTCGCCTTTGCTTTGATCTCATGGGAAAAGCATGGAATAATGTCAAACATCTGAAACATACCTCCCCTCTGTCAGAAGACATTCTCCTGGTACAAGGGCTGATGTTACAGCTGCTTCCTGAGGAGTCTGCACAAACTTGGGACTGAGAAGTAACTGTTTGTGGTGGAACCCTTTGGCCATGCAGGCTGTGAACAGTGCTACATCCTATCCATAGACTAGGAATGGTTTGCAAATTTAGGGTTACAGATCTGGCTGACCTACTCCGGGTCATTAGCATCTGAAACGAGTTGTTAAAAGGGACTCCAGTCTCTCCCCATGTTTTGGTCGGTTTTTTTCTCTTTTATTCTGAGCAAAATCCTGTAGTCTTATGAGAGCCTGCTCTCTGCCAAGGCTGGCAAGACTGGTGTGCTGCATCACCTTCTCAGGCTGAACAACCGGTGAATTTCAGGTTGGAATAACATACATGTGGTCATGTTCTGCAGCCTGTTTCGGTTTCAAAAGAGGTGATGGCTGAGGTGTTAACCTGTGAGTAAGAAGACACTGGAGAAACTTGAGTGACAGCCAAGCCTGATGCTATCCTAGTAAACATCAGTGTTTAGTTCTCAGCAGTGAGAAAGTCCCAGAGATAATCATATATTAAGTAACCATTAAAAAGATATGAGGATTTACCATTACAGGTGGATGTTGAAGAAAGCAATGACAGTAATTAAATACAGCATTGGTTTCCCCTCTTTGTTTTTCCTCTATCGGAGGGTAATAGTGGAGGAAATCCTTATTTGATGTAACAAAATGGATTCAGAACAATTTATTCTAAATGACAATTTGAATGTATACATTCCAGTATATAATTTTCTAAGAAAGTTAACACCACCTCCCCCAAACCTAAGGATTTTATGGCTTTAATAAACATTTAAAATAAAACTGCTGGATCAGAGCTCTTCACGTACTGTTGGTTATTTTACTCTCTGGTAGATGTTTTCTGCATCATGTATGTACATTGCAAAGTTGCAGAAACCTTTCAGTAAATTGTTTTCATGCAGACAATAAATTACACTCTATATTATTAGCCTCTAGGTAGACTGGGAGCTTCAGTTACTGGAATTGATCCTCTGGAGGACAACATTAGAACAGCAGATCAGCACAAGTCATTTGATCCGGTCCTGGCCAAGAGAATACAGTACAAGTCCAGTTCACTGGAGGAGATTGTGGAAGAGTCTATGGAAACCTTTGATGTAATTGTAGCTTCTGAAGTAGTGGAGCATGTGGCTGACCTTGAAATGTTTATCAGGTGTTGCTCTCAGGTGTTAAAGGTAAGAGAGTTTTTGCTTTCATTATTGGGAATATTTATTCTCTTTTATTGTTAAGGCTGCCATTTGAAGGCATGTGAAAACATCTAAATCTGCATTCATTCCTCCACCTTGAATTGCTTGAGATCTGAATCATTCTCCAGAGGTGTCTTCTGTTCTCCTCCATGATGCAAGTACATCTTCCCAACTTCAGGAACAAAAGAGGAAATTTGCTTCCCCAGCCCTGCCTTAAAAAAGTGTTAGTGGCCCTTCAGAAATCTGGTTGCATCTGATGTCACCTAGTGAGAGAAAACAGCGCAGGGATCCTGTTGGTGGACAGCTATGGCTCACGCTGCTCTGAAACAGACTGTAGTGGCGTTCCTGATTCACAAGATTTTATTCCAGCTCTAGCATCACATCAGATGTGCTGGATTGCTTTTAAAGCCATCATAGTTACGCTTGGAGATAAGCAAATGTTGTTTTATTCCTCTTGATATTGTTTCATTTGCAAAGAAGGACGGTAGGCTAAGTACACAAGCAACAGCTCTCCTTTTATCTCTTGATTTATTATTCTGATCATCAGAAGGAATATAGATTATTTGAATGGAAACTTTAACTAATTTTCAGCCTGTTAGAGGCATAGAACTTATCCTTTATTTCTAAGAAACAGTCTCATAAGTACTTAGAATTCATTTTTGGCTTTCTTTTTTGATCCGGTAATCATTAAAAAAGTATAGCATTTAACATGCTCAAAAATTAATCAGTATTGCACATTTTACTTTAGTTTTAATTTTAAAAAGTATTTCTTTTTAGAATAGGTATTGTACATACCTTAATACCTTTCATTTATCCATTTCCTGGGAAATGTTACATTATAATTGACTTTGTTAGACATTTTTTGGGCACAGAAATGGTTTTCAAACTGTCCAAGACTTTGATTATGTTGACTCTTTGAGGACTACTGAGTTGTACTGTTAGAACGTTATATTCTTTATCATGTTTAAATGGTATATTTGTAAATACTATCCTGGGATGAAATTAGTTCTTACTCTTGCAGCATATAGACTTTTAGACAATTTATGTATTTTAATGGAATTAAATTTACAAATTTTTTTTAAAAATAAACATTTTTCTAATTTAACATTTTAATCTTTTAATTAGCCTGAAGGTTCTTTATTTTAGACAAATTATGTATTTTAATGGAATTACATTTACAAATTTTTTTAAAAATAAACATTTTTCTAATTTAACATTTTAATCTTTTAATTAGCCTGAAGGTTCTTTATTCATTACTACAATTAATAAAACGCAGTTGTCCTATATCCTGGGAATTGTGGTTGCAGAAAAAATACTAGGCATTGTGCCAGAAGGAACACATGAGTGGGAGAAGTTTGTTACCCCCGAAGAGCTGGAGCGCCTCCTGGAATCAAGTAAGTTGCAGGCCAGATGATGGGAATGCAGAGACATATCCAAATGCTCCCTATAGAAATGGTAAGGGGATAAGCTAAGTGGGGTGAGTGCTAGCAACAATACACAGCCTTTTCCATGTGAGTTACCAGTCGTATATTATGAGTAGCGTTTCTGGTTTAAAGAAACTGCTGCTTACTGGACTTTGCATAAAATAAATGAACTAGAGTGGAGTCCTAGAAATGCAGAGATTACTCAGAAAAAATCACTGTTACACCTGCCCTCTGATAGCCTGAATGAAAATTCCAGGGTTTTCCATCCTGTTCTGGTGACAGAACATATGCTCTAGGTCAGGTTTGAGAAAATAGCTGTATTGGCACTGCAGAGCTGCGCTGCTGCCACTGCACTGTTTGTCGTCTTCCCCTTGGGAGAAGGTGTCTTTATTTTTGGTTGCTGCTCCATGTTCTTTGTTCATGTTATGTTACTAAAGATTTCTTCAGAAAAGTGAAGATGAAACCTACCATAAATTCATTAGTCAGTTCTTGAGAAGCTAGATGATACTGATTTGAAGAAACAATTAAATTGCCCTGGTGTGGTTGCTTTTAAAATAGGTAAAGCACTGAGCTGGGAAGAGTTCTGCCCATTGCCCTCCTTCCCTGCACATGTTTTAAAACCCTCTTGCTGAATGTTTCACTTTGCTTTAGTCCACTGTGAAGAAGATGAAGTATGAGTTGAGCTGTTCTCTTGGCAAGGTCTTCTCCTGGCACTTTGCAGTGATGCTGTAAGGAACATGGCTAATACCAGTTCGTATGCTGGTGGTTCTTTCTGTTCCCCCTTCAAAAGGAGAAGCAGGTGCAGTGGAGTGATTTGTTTTGATAGAGTGTTTGTTTTCTACCTTCCCTCCTGTATCCTGCTGGGACACAGCAGAGCCATGCAGTGAACTGAGAGTGCTAAATCACAGGAGTGCCAAATCACTCTACTTGCACTGAGCCCTTGATGGCGTTCTTCTGCCTCTTTCTTCGTTTTCAATTCCTAAGGGGCATCTTCAGAATCCTGGCAAAGATATGCTCAGATTTTGATTTTGAAGTGTGTGATGTCAATCTGAAGAATGTCTCCACCTACAGAAAATGTTACCAGTCACCCAGATGCGGTGGTGTGAAGTTGGGGTTTCCAGCACACCACTTTGCAGTGGCTCACCATACAGCATGCTAATGGGACGTGGCCTGGCACAGACCTGTTGCTGCTACTGCCAATAGCACGACCCACTCTCACTGGTGATGCCTGTTCCAGTGCTCGTGGCAGTGTCTGACAAAGGCCAGCTCGTGAAGCACGGCTCCCCGGCTCGGAGGAGGAAGCGTGTTTCAGACTTGCTGTTCTAAAGGGTTTGATGTTGTGAAGACTTAAAATATTTCAGAACTTCAGTTGCTTTGTTTTCTTTCTTTTCTAGATGGCTTTTCAGTCAAGACTGTGAACGGGATGTTGTATAATCCCTTCTGGGGGTTGTGGAGCTGGATGGAAAGCACGAGCATTAACTATGCAGTGCATGCTGTCAAATCTGGGGCTCAGGGACAGTCAAGCCCAACAGATGCCCTGTCAGAGATGGAGAGTGAACAGCACTCCGCCACAGCTGGCACTGCTGTGTGACTGAGATGTGTGGTGATGGACTGCCATCAGGAACAGAAAAGGTTTTACCCAGACGGACATAATAAAACCTTTTGTAACAACAAACTTGCTGTTTGCATTGATAGTGCTTGTGCTATTTTTGGCCAAATATTTTCAGGCAGTCTCAGAAAAAAACAAGTGCCTGTTATCTCAGGAATCTTTTAAGACTGAAATCAGCAAAGGTTTTAAAGAGCGGATATTTTTATTAGAAAGTAGCTTCAAATTGTTGGACAGGGAAATGCAAATTATTCTGTCAGTAAGGACAGTTCCCTTGGAGGGAACTCTTATATTGTGATGGTATTTTCAGTCCTACCAGGAAAACTGGATCTCCATAGAATAATAGCGTAAATGTAGAATGAGTTAAAAACCACAATGACAAAGCCTGCCTGGATGCGTTCCTGTGTGATCTGATCTAGGTGTTCCTGCTCCGGCAGGAGGATTGGACTAGATGATCTTTCGAGGTCCCTTCCAATCTCTAACATTCTGTGATTCTGTGATATGATGAATAAAATGCCTTAAGTTACTCAAATCAGTTAAAAGATCTGAAACACTTAAAACCCACAAACACTTGTTTCTATATTATGCCTTCTCCCTGAGACGAGGAGAGGAAAAAAAAGAAAAAGCAGCAAACCTTTTCTGTTGGGTCATGCCATTTCTACAGTTGACACGAGCTGAGTGTGCAGTGGAAGAAGAGTCTCAGCTGTCAGAAGTCTCTTCACAATAAAGGTGCTAGTATCTGCGCTTATTATTTCAACTTTCTCCCTTTGCCCCAATAAAGGGAAGTAACGTTTCAGGTAAAATTTTACTAAGCAACCAGAGCTTTATGCTAGAAGATATGTTAGCAGTCTGTCCTAGAATTGAAGTGCCATACCTACTCACTCTTAAAGTCCTACTGCCAGGTTAAGGAAAAGTGTTACAATGAAATAGGACTTTATAAATAAAATGTCTTGCGTGTGTCCATGGCTGTATCTCTTCTCTCTTTCTTTCAGCTTGTAGAGGTAGAGAGGAGGCCTGGCGGTGTTTGCAGGGCTGAAAATTAATTTTTTTTTATTTTTTTTTTCCTTTTTTGTTACTTGTGCATTTCTCTTGCTGTAGAAGTTTGGTGGGCTAAATTATTGGTTTACACATTTGCTTTCTTGCTGCTTTGCTACATCTGCATGTTGCCTTGGGATCCAAGTTTCATGATGGATCTGATGATGCCCAGAAAAACATAGTTAATTTATAATGGAAATAATAGTAATTCACAGGTATTAAGACTAAAAAGGATTACCTAGTGTGATCGTTTCTATGACAGTAAGTTCTGCTTTAGGATATTTCTTTGGGCTATAGTTTGGCTTTGAGAAGAAGATTCACCTTTGTGGAGAGTTCAGTGATGGAGGAGCCACTACGTTGATAAGTAAATTGTTCCAAAAAGTTCATCAGTTGAAGTGGTTTAACCTCAAATCACAGCCAGTGATGTCTTAACACCTTCATTTTTTAGATTAAGGACCTCTCTATCAGCTGTAGTTTTGAGTCAAGTCACCCTTTCTCTTACATAAATGGACTGAGGTATCTCGACAGCTATTATCACTACAGTGTTAAGTTTCTGTGTGTATGAAATTTTGTGATAAACATCCTTTCTGAAGCATGACAGTGGAAATGGCATTTCAGTAATGGTCTCACTAATGCTGCCTGCAGGAAGAACACCATCATTCTTCTGCCTGACATTCTTCTGCATGGAATCTCTGCTGCACTGGTCATGCATGCACCATGGCACATAGCATTCAGGAGAGGAGGGAAACTGGGAAAAACGGGGGTAGCCAGAGCAGATAATCAGTGGTCTTTGTTCCTAACACCCTTTAGGCATGCTGAACCATGCGGCTTGAGTAAGTTCCACTAACCAAGGTATCAGCTTCAGTCTAAGTTGTTATGACTGTATTACTTGGTTTTTACCAACTGGGAATTGAAATTGGGGGACAGTCCTCCACCTATTTGTTTGGAGACCTGACAAGTGAAATGAAACTCATGTAGATATAAGGGGAAGAGAACAGCTGATTCTTGTTTGCTTTAAAAGCCTTAAATCCAGATGTTTGTGTGACCAGCTGTTATCCTGGCTTTCTCATCCTTTCCTTTCTTCCTACTTGCTTCTTGTTGTGTTTTTTTTTTTTTTTTAGTTAAACTGTGAGCTGCCTGGGGAAGGAACTGTTTTTGTCAGGGGAAGGACCTGCCGTGGCCGCTCCTTCTTCTATTGCACTTAGCACAAAAAGCCTTTGATGCTGCTTGCCTTCTCTGTCCAGGCTCACAAAGAGGGGTCATGTAGCAAATTAACAATGGCTTGCATTTAAGCAACAAGCACATGGACCTGGTTGTCCACGAATACCCCTGGTTTTGACAAAAACCTTATCACAAGCAGCTGACCTGCTCCTACGTGCGTATAGGGGCCCTGTCTGTCTGGGATAGTTTAGTGATTGGTGTGGGCAAAGGAGTGGGGGCTGCTTGAACAGGTCCTTGTACACATGGCGTGTCTCCAGATGTCCCCATGTACTCCATCCTCAGTCTCTAGGCCCCTCTTTTCCTCTCCTGCTGGAGTATCCTAACTCTTCTGGCTGTATTTCATCCCTCTAGTTAAAATAACTTCTTTTTAAGCTAGAAAGCAAATTATTGCACTAGAGATAGTTTTAGTGAGACAACAGTGCAAGAATATCGTACACCTTGCTTTTTAGCTGGTTTTTGGTTTGTTTTTTAATTCTGGCATTATTCATAGATGTGCATCTCCAGCACAGCGTAGTCAAATTCAGTACTGTGCGCTGAACAGGTACTACCTATCCTGCTGCAGAAACTATTTTCTTTAAATCTGTGCATAGGAAACCAATAGAGATTTAATGCTTCTTAGGGGCTGTGAGTAGAGACAAAAATAAAGAATATCTTGTCGAAAGATTTTCTGAAAATGGCTTCTCAAGTTCTTTCATTATGTTGAAATCTCAGCTTTAATTAAAAAAAATAAAAAGAAGCTTATTTTCCACACACTTATAAGAATCGCTTAAAAGGAATAATCGCATGCAGTCTACAGGTTCAGACATCAAAAGGCTCAGCTCCTGTAATTAGCCAGCTTGATGAAGCAGACTGGAGGAGAAAAAGTGAGACACAAGAATCATCAAGTCAGTGTTGATGCTGTAGTTGCAGGGATTTGAGAGGCACCCAGGAGTACCTGGAATGGGGGTCAGCATTGAAAAGACAGAAATTGTAGAAGGAAGAAGAGCAATGCCTGGAGGGTAAATATGATTCCAATGGAGATGGAAAATGTGAAATAATGGTATACAGGGCAGTCAGGTTCAAGTGTTCCTTCAGAGAGGAGATACTGATGGTTGGGAGAGTGGCTCTGTGGCAGATGGAAGCAAAACAGTACAGGTATTCACACCCTCCCGCTTGTTTTTGCACGTTAACCTCCAGTGCCTTGGTCCAGCTGCCTACCCTCTTGCTGATGTCCTGCAAAGGAAAGGTGGGCTCCTCGCTCCACAATGGATATTGGTCACTTAGTACTCATGGGCAACTACCAGCTCCCTCATTCATGGTGGTGTAGAGCATCTCTTACCCTGCCACATGCAGATGTATTCCCATTCTTTGCATTTAATTCCCTTGTATCAGGAGCATAAGCTAGGGCAAAACTTTGCTATCTGTCCCAAGACTCCCCCAGGTATGAACAAATTGTATCCTAAAACTGCAACCCTGTTGCCCTGAGTCAGCATTTATTTAATAAAATTACTAACATTATCTCATTGAAGGGAAAAATGCAGAAGCCCAATTGCATGATTTCTCTTCCCCATCACCTCCCCTTTGAAGTTCTCAAACTGCTCGATGCCTCTGCGCGGCTGAGCCAAGCCCACAAGGGAGTAGTAACACTTGGTGTATTGTTATCCTTCAGTACCTCTAAAGCAGGCTTTGTGGTTTATTTGGCTCTGTGCTGTCTCAGGGTAACTTTCTGTTTTTACAAATCAGTGTGAATTGTGTTGCACTGTCTCCTGCTTCATAAGGAGTGACTGAAAAATAGTTATTTTAATGTAAAGTACTGTCTTACCATCACAACCATGTATTTTTCCCAGCCCCCTTTCCAAATAAAAGTAGAACACTGCTTTTATAACCCTTTCAAAATAATTTGATTCTGCTTAGACTGAACAGTATTATGAATTTGAATAAAAATCACATTATTTTCAGATAATGTTTTAATGATAAAAATCAGCCTGTATTTCCCCTAGTTCCTCCAGGTTACAGGACAAAATTCTAGTTTCAAGTTTGTGCTAATGGTAGACTTTATTTGTATTGACACATGTCCCATTTTCTTGAAGCAATATGCAATGATGTCATGTTTTATTCCGTCCAGAAGGGCTGGGATTTCACCTGGGATGTAAAATCACTTGACCTGTCTTGACTTACACGTGTATTATTTGCACAGCCACCTCTGAATGCATTAGGAATTCAGGATGTATACTTTGATCTGCATTTTATTGTGCTTTTCCCACATGGAATCATTCCAGAGATATAATCAATATTAATTTTTCCTAAAAAATATAATTGTTTTCTGCTTAAAAGCCTTATGAAGACCATTAGTGTTCCATTAATAAATCTGAAAACTCTGTTGTGTCCTCATGAGATGTGTTAACTTATAAAAACCAACCCTGAAACAACTTGGAGATTAAATTGCTAATCTTGCCTTGTACAGTAGTTATATTATAAAAACTTGCAATAATAGAAGATACAGAAAAAATATCTGGTGTTTATTTTCCTGAATTAGAGTAAGCACATACAATCTGAAGACATATAAGAATGAAAGTAAACAAAAAATGTGATAAAAATGAGATCTCAGAAGAACGTATCCAGCTCAAGTAAGTAATGGTGAAAGTCAGCAGATTCACCCTGAACTCCCTCTGACGAAGCACAGGGCAAGCCTTCCTTGCTGTCTGTCTATTCAGTGCCCCAGCATTGAAACTCATAGTTTAATTCCCCATTTTGCCTTCCTGCTGTGGGAGAAGCGGCAGCCGAGTGCTTCGCCTCACTTGATCCACCTTGAAGTTACGCTTTACA